GAAGGGTGACTCTGGGTGGCTCACAATTAAAGTAAAACCCAAAAACAATTAAAAATATAAATATCCATATTAATTAGTTAAAAAGTCAGACTGTATAAAAAGTTCCTATACATTTTATTGTGAACCACCCAGAGTCACTTTTTGTGAGATGGGCAGTATCTAAATTTGATAAATAAACAAACAGACAGACTAAAAACATTCAAGATGATGGGGGGTAGAATCAATTACCCCACAAGCCAGTTCCACTGGTGTGAGCCAGTGAACATGCCCCTTCTGCCAGACTGAATGAGGCGGGCTGATGTAATGGGGGCGAGACGGCTCCTCAGATAACCTGGTCCTGTGCCATGAAGGGCTTTAAACATAATAACCAACACCTTGAATTGGACCTGGAAGCAAATGGGACAAAAGGCAGGAAAATGAGAGAGACATGAATAATAGGCAGGAATTAATATTAGCTATATAGCAAAAGGCACAGAACTTTCCAAAGCCACTGGAAACAATACTGTGGGTAAACAAGATGGACAATTCCAAAGTACACAGCAGCAGAATAGAGATGGAAAATAGGTCACCATATTATCCCTCTTCTGTTTGCACCATTAAAGAAATAGTTTAGTGAACAAGGATGATGTACCCAACACTTTCCTTCTCCACTTCATCTGTAAAGTTGTGAAGACACTAATCCAGGATGTAGAGCTCGCAGTTGCATAGTACAGAAGGAGAAAGAGAAGAAATTAAATTTTATAAGTTTCATCTTTAAGGCAGAGGAAGCATTTGAAAAATTGTGTCTCTCTTACTGACTGCAGTTGGGACCAGCAACTCTGTTGTTAAGCTGCACGGTTGTTAAGTGAAACATTGCGTGACCATATCGACTTACATCAGTTCCAGCTGTGGTCGTTAAGCAAATCACTGTGGGTCGTTAAGCACGATTTCACATGACCATGACTTGCAACTTCCTGCCAATTTCCTCAGTGACTTTGCTTGTGGGGAGCTGGCAGGGAAGGTCACAAATGGCAATCATTTGACTGTGGGATGCTGGAACCATCGTAAATGCATGTCAGTTACGAAGCACCTGAATCACGATCACATGACCATGGAGGCACTGTGACAACTGCAACTTTGAGAACCAGTTGTAAGTCTCCTTTTTCAGCACTGTCATAACTTTGAATGGTTGCTGAGCGAGTGGTCAGTAAGCAAGGACTACCTGTATGTTACTTAGAGTAAAAGTCATGTCTGGAGGGACCTCTGACTGCTGTAATCTTAAACCATCTGGCCCAACCAGTTTCCAGAAAGGAGGAAAAGAAATGGAAGTACTGCTGGAATATACCGGCAGGTAATTATGGAACTAGATACTCAAGACCTGAAAGTGCCCAAACTATTATTTTAAATTCTATTATGTAAGGTTGAGTATGTTGTGATGGCATGCAAAAATGTTAACAGGTAGATTTAGACATTTATTAGAATCAGAAGAAATGTATTATTTCCTTAGCGCTGGAAATTCAGTATAGTTTTTAACCTTCATAAAGTGTATGCACAACCATGGAGCTTTGTATATTGCACATGTTTGAATGCTCTGTGCACATACATTGAAATAATTTTTGTTTCAACATTTTGATGTGTTTCTTTGGCAGTTGAAACAATATTAGAGCCCTCCAGTGAGCAAACTCATTTTTCTAGGTTATGGAAATTCTGCTTGGGTAGTGTTTTTATTAGCATTTCTTCTGCATTTCCCTTCGTCAGCAAAATGTGGTTTTGGCTTTTGTTCAAAAAGAAAGTAGGAATATTGGACTTTTCAATAGTTGATAACAGGTATACAATTTTGATGGCAGTTGGAAAACGTTAAATGGTTAAATGAGTAAAATTAAACTTTATGTTAACAATGCTAACTTGTTTCAGTATTCATGGTTACTCTGCCAATTATCCAAAAATTTCAACCATGAACTTAACTTTCATGAGATTGCTAAACCAAGATTTGCACAAAGATGCCAGAATCTTGTGTGAATATATGGGGAGGGGGTGTTGAGTGCCATAGCAAGAATAACTCCTGTGGTGTGACCTCTGTCTTAATGTACCTTACATGGTGGTTGTGGCAGCAGCCTAGAGTAAATACTGAGCCCCACCATTCTAGAAGGATCCCAATAAATATTTAAAATGTCTTACAGTGCCCTAGACCAGTGTTGTCCAAACCTGGCCACTTTAAGATGAGTGGACTTCAACTCCCAGGATTCCCCAGCCAGCCATGCTGGCTGGGGAATTCTGGGAGTTGAAGTCCACTCATCTTAAAATGGCCAAGTTTGGACAACACTGCCCTAGACCAACGAACACAGAATCTTGTTCAGTTACTTTGTCAAGTAATCTGGGATAGCGTAGAAAATTTTAAATGGTTAATAACCCCCTTGCTTAATCAATGTCATCTTTTGTATTAGGGATGTTATATATTTATTTGATTGTGTTGTAACAAAGATGCCGTATCTTTTTTGCACTGGTGATCTTGGAGTGGCATGTCAGATGCTACCCTTTGAACAACAAGTGGAAGCCAAATTTGATTTCATTTAAATACAAATGTAATTAAAGTTAATTAAGTATGAACACTCCCCATGTATGTAACAATATTCCCTTTTTGCTACAATAAAAAAATAGAGTTTTTATTCTAAGGCTTGGTGTGGGAGTACATGTACTTTTGAGGTCCTAGATAGTGTTCCCCATATTATAATCAAAGTGTTCAATTTTTTTTCTACTAGTTTTTGATCTATACAGTGGCAGTATTCTAGAGGTAATGAACCATATGCCCAGCTTCTCATTCCTGTGCTTTTTTCTGTAGTATAATTTGACCTTCTGGTCTGTGTTCTTCGTGCACATAGCTTCCCTTATACCCTCAGGAAAAAAATGTCAAACATAAACCTTTCCTCTTGGCATCCCCATTTCTTTCAAATCCTGTCGACTGTGATCCTCAACTTTCTTTGTCAGCTTATTTGCTTCACTGGGGCTTGTTCCAAAACGGTGCTGGGAAGACCAAGCCGTTCATGGCCTTTGTAGCACAAAATAAGTCGCTTGTATTCCCTTTTCATAAAAGCTTAGATTATGACAACTGCGGATTATGTTTTCATTGTCCCACTTTGGATAGTAGTATGAATGAATTTAATCCTCTTTCCATGAAAATGGCCTAATGCTAAAATAAATTAGCACTTTGGAATGGCTGCTGGCCAGCCGCCAAAGGTATCTTAGAAATAAAATGCTATAAAACTTTGGAAATAAGTGTCAGCATTCAGGTAGAGTGCAATAATATAAATCTTTATGTACCTATTTTTCCATCCAAATGAACCACAAGACAGTTTATATCGAACAGAAACCAAGAAGAAACCTAAGTAGAAATACATTAAAACCTCTGGTCAGCACTTAAAACGGGATAGAAAATAATGCCACAGCAGTTGTTAATATACATATGCCTGCAAACCTTTATGAAATTCAACAAGAAAGCAATCAGAGACCCTCCCTTGGAAATGGTTTAAACAGAATGTTGTCAGGGATTTGTAGCTGCCTGAACTTAACTAAATTTTCTCCAAGCATGAACTCAATGTTTTCTTTAACAAGATTGATTAAGAAATAGAATTATTACTGAAAGTGTGGTGGTACAATTCTAGCATGTGAACTAATTTTTGATGTAGAACCAATACATCTCAGTGTAAATTAGGGTGGGGATGTGTTGAATCTTTTTCCACAGCTTTATGGTACCCCAGAGGGAGGCACTAAAGCTGGTTGTTTAAGTAACAGTCACCTGAATCTTTGTCAGTCTGAGAAACATCTCTTAAAAAGATTCTGTCTTTAGTAACAGCCATATCTCAGAAGTTTGGAGAATTGAGAGCAGGGCCTTCAAATTGGGAAGTTATCAAAATAATCACATTCCAGACCATTTTCAGCATGAATGGGTAACCTATGATCCATGGTATACAGTACTTGTACTTTTGAATTGCTGTTTTAGAACCCCAGGAATCCCTTTACTTGCACTACAAACATTTTATAGCATAATTTCCTATTGTGAATTGGTGGCAAACCATCAAAAGAAATTATTTTTAATTTTTAACATATACACTATATGTCACTTGCAGATTGGTACTTTTAAAATTTTGGGAGGTTGCCATACCCACTTTGCATCATGGCTCTGCCTATTGCTGCCCTTGGCCAGTGGAAAAGTGCCATAGCCCTGATGATGGCTTTAAAGGTAAATACCAGTTCTTTGAATTGGGCACAGAAAGTAAGTGGAACCTATTGAATTTAATAATGTATCAAGTTAATATGCTTCATCAGTACCTTTACTGACTACCTGTAATATTTAATTTCCAAAGACAATTCCACAAAGAGGAAATGTCAAAAGTTTTAATTGATTGAGTAGCTGTGGCCAGATTCTAGTTACTCAAAAGAAGGTAAAAAGTGCTTCTAGATCTTATGTTTGTTACCATGCTTGTTTATGACATACATCCCTAAACCTGACCACAAACTACTCCATATTGAGGAATAAACTCTTCTGGAACCAAGTGATGGGAGATTTAGTTGAAAAGTGTGTGTTTTAAAAATAACTTCTGATATTGGCTGGTTGAAAAAGGGCTTCCAAAGCAAAATAAGGGATTCAAGAGAAACAATGAAAACAAGATCGATGAAATTTTATTGAGAAAGCTATAGCAAACAGCAATAAAAAGATGGATGCCAGGAGGTTCTACAGATGAGAGATGATGATTATGAAGATGATAATAATAATAGTAATAATAATATGCTTTAAAACTTAGCATACAAACAGAAATAAAGGAATATAAATTAAATTAGAATATACAAAAATACAAATAGGTTACATTAAAACTATGCAGTTCTAATTGTAAGGGAACTAAGGGATAGTGGAATATCAAATAGGTAACCACCTTACAATAAAAGTAATAGATAACTAAACCATAGAAAACCTCATATGGAGAATATAGAGGATGGCCTTGACGAACAGAAGGAAGATCCATTACCGAGGCAACAATCAAATAAATGTGGCTTGAGCCCATACCAAGAAAGATTTACAAAAATGCCTCAGACAGCATCCCCCCCCCCCCCCCCCCC